TGAAGCAAAGTTTCCAATCATGCTGGGAGCCCTGCAATCTCTTTCTCTTCACTTGAGCTCATTTCTCCACTAATGACTTTGCCCTCTGATGCAAGCCAAGGGATCATCAAAGGTCCTTGAAACAAAAAGGGAAATATAGCAATTACTGGGACTTTCATCGGCGAGAAAGAGATTAAAAACCCTGTGGTTGTATAAGCACCCGAGAAGCAAACCGAGATCTGTTTCACTATCAAATGTATATTCAAGCACTTCACTGCAAACGTTATTCATCAACATGTTCTTCCTTTCACCACTCTCATTCATTTTTTTTCCCATGCATGATAATAGAATCAAATGTATTATGTATTACTAATCACATGATAAAAGCCTGTGGTGCTAGTAATGCATGTAGATTCCAAAATGCTGTGCATGTACAAGAAAAGTCATTGCCTTTTTAACAGTGGCCTGAGGGAATGGAGTTGTCCCTTAGCCTCCATAACCATTGACACAAAAGGTCCCCTAACAATTTCAAATTACTGCTTTATTTCTCTCTCTTATATAATCCACCCACATTATTAAATCTACCACCTTCTGGGACTTTACTGATACAATAATATTACAGTGCTAAGATGTTTACATTCGAGACGCCAGCTTTCCTTGTTATAAACATGTATGCCCTTAGGAATTGTGCAATACGTATGCATACTACTTGGCCTAAATGAGGCACAGGTCATTTTGTTTTTAAGAGGGGTCAATATTACCTCAAGCAAGGGGCCAAGGCCAACACCAGAACCTGACTGAGCAGAAAATGGCTCCTGATTCTTACAGATGAGATCTATTATACATTAAACATGCTTGTAAATATTCACTAGTCAGACTATTCAAATGGAAAATATGGTTTAGGTCAAAGGTCTATGAAAATGTTGTCTCCAGAGGAAGTCCCCTTAGAATAGAGGCAATGATGATAACAGGGAGAAACACCCATAGGGGACTAGGGAGAACATTAAGAGTTGTTTTACATGTTTGACTGTGGTGCAGCGATGATACCAGGGAGATAAATGATGGGCACTTATTAGACTGGACTGACCTAGAGTTATGTACCATGCCTAATGGAATGTAACACTCCCATCAATTTTACAAGGCCAGGCTGAATTACAATGAATTAGTGTCCAATAAAGTTTTCTAAATAATTTCGTTCAACTAGTTTATTAGCATAAAGGATTTTTTTTAAATGTAATAATGTCCGAACAGGTATTCTTATTTAACACGACCACGCTTATTGAAATCTATGAATAGCAAAGCGCAGAAGGTACAGAATAATATGTGAACATCAGTTTTATTAGTGGTTTGTCTCACTGACAGGATCACATGGCTTGAAAATTATTTCATCATGTTCGAGTCCAACAGTGGGACCACGGTGTTATCTTCTATTTTTGTCTCTCTCAGCCGTATATTTCAGAGGCCAGGAACAATGTAGTCTGACAGACATATTCTTTATGAGGGGCTCGTGGTCTCTCTAATTTGACACAGTTGTCAGAGATAAAGCTCCTTAGAGAGTGTGGCCATGCTCTGGGTAAGAATGGGGATTAAATTAACACCCCCACCTTCACATTCTCTGACCCCAATACTGGAGAATAAAACATACATGGTGACTCACTTCAACACCCCAGATCTCCCCTCCAACTTCATCTTTGAATGTATTTGGAGTTTATTCCTAAATAAAACAATGATACTCGGCTTATAGGTTAATATTATTCAAATCCATATTATAAAACAGCTTTGCAAAAGTGACCAAGAGCATAAATTCAGTCTGCTAAAAATAAAAAAATACATACAAAAATTATTTTTATAATCAAATTTAATTATATGAGGAAACAGTGCTGCATACCTTCGGGCATTTTTTACGATAAATGTGACCAGTAAAAGCAACACAAAACAGCTTACAGGGTGTAACAATACACTCCCACTCCTCGGTAGCTTCCTATCAAATGACCCGAGCACGTAAAATCAAATCAACACTGGAATGGATCATATCAAATTCTAATGAAAACATAATATGCTCTTAAAATGTGTGTTGGCCCGGCAGCCAGTCATCCAGAGAGTCTCCCCCAGATGACGTGATGAATAGGGAACACCGATGGAATATGCATCAAAGTCGAGCTCATGATTTATGTAATAGCAGTCACTTGGACACTGATTAGCTGCTCTGTCAAGCGTGTAATACGAGAGGCACAACCCCTGGTTTATCAGTCATTTATCTGAAGTGCGTCCTGATATTATCACTGGATCCTAATGTCATCATTATGCCGCACAGCATGTGCGGGCCAGTGTGTCATGGTGCCGGCGACACTGCCTGTCAGGAGTTCAAGCCTCTTCATTTGCAAAATGCTCAGACATTCATAGCACTATGTCAACAGTAAAATAGAGAAGCCACATCATACGAGAGATGGAGGGACAGAGGCACACAGGTACACTAAATAAGTGGACACAAGAGGATACAAGGAAATTTTGTCACCTCTTTGTGGCCGTGGAATTGCTTATATGATCATCAGGCTAATTCTTTTGAGAAGAGTGGAATAACAAAGTGTCAGAGTAAAAAGAACAAAATAACAGGTTGCTTCTTTTTTTTTCTGCGTCTGCTTCGTGGTTTGATTTAGAGGAATAGACACATCTACTGTACACTTGGTACACAAAAGACCTCCTCAATGTGCAATGTGAGGCCCACAGAGCCATTTTTCCTGATTAAAATGCACACTCACACACACCACTGTGTGAGACGATGGCGGTTGTTCAGTCTGTCAGGACTTTCCTGTTCTCCTAAAGAATATCTGATATCATAAATGACTTCAACTCCTCCCACGCCAACATGCGAGCGAGGCTGCAAACACAGGAAAAGAGAGCAAGACACAGACTGCCAGTATATGACTGAGCTATGACAATCATACATTACCGGATGGACAAAACTGCTAATAAACAATCGCTGTCATTATTACAAAAAAAGGTTAGGGCTGTTATTCTCGCAAACATCTGGTGCTGTACACTAAAAGGAAGCTGTGCAACGTATAAGTCCGTCAACACCTCACACAAACAAAAATAGTGAGGGAAACTGAACAGGAAAAGGAGCTCTTTGAGTCCCAAACAAAAGATATCAGCCCGGCTGCCAACACAGACAGGGCACCACACCTTGGCAATGATGCCGCTCACAATCAAAGGAACAGTCGTCATCAGTGGAGCCGTGTTTTTAAAGGATATCTTTAAAAGATTGAAAATATGTGTCATTATGGAAAACAATTGAGCCTGGAGCCTTTAGTATACCGAGTTGTTATGTCACTCACACGCACTTTAGGTTGTTTATTTCAACACATAATGGCAAATATGCTTCCTGTTTTTAAACATTAGAATTTTTGCACACCTCATAATAAATGTATATGATTGTAAAATGTGTAAAGCAGCCTTGATGAGCCGGTGGTAATTAAAATTAGCACACAACAAAAATTGCATTACAAAAAAATTAATAAATAATAAAATCTGTCTTAGAAAATATTTAAAATTGCACATTTCTGTCATTTTTAGTAAATGCAATAAAGCAAACACGGAACGGCTTTAGTGGCTGCCACATATGATAATTGTCTGGCCACTGAATGCAGCATTAAAATGATTTCAAACAGTATGGCTCAGAAGATCCAGCAGAGGGGGCTGCTTACTGCAATCATATGCTGATTAATTGAGCTTGATTCTCCCCATGCTGCGAACATAAGTTGTCCCACACTGTAGGCTACATGTTGGTATGTGGTTAAAGGTTACAAGGCTTTATCGAAGTCACCTTTTACCACAGGTAGCCCCTCACATCATTTTTGATGAATATTAAGAAAACACTGATTTTCTGATTATCCCTCATCAAGCCTATATCAAACTAGGTTATGTTCATTTTTATTAATCGTGCATGTTGCTCTCTAATTAGCTAATGAGAGACAAAAAGCAGGTTTAGAGCAGAAAATGCAAATGACTCTTAGAAAATAGCACAAAAAAGTAAATGGCAAGGCTGAGAATCATCCTTCATTGAAATGTCAGAGATAAATGGCTCAAATGTCACATCAATTAAAACGGGGGACAGTTAGTAGTTCATTAAAGAGAGAGCCATATTGCACCGTCGGGTACCGTTGCCAACCCTTACTATCTGGGGCAGACTGGCAGCGGGTCCAGATGGCACGGAAATCCTCACAGATTTCAAAATGGTCTCTGCAGGGGTGGCGTTTTCTCCCCCGCTCCCACCCTCACCGCTGAGATGGGGTGTGGGCCACAGGCCCATGCCGGCCTACACATTCCAAACGGAGGCATGCAGAGAGCTGAAGGCATCACAGAAACAAAAAAATAAAGCTGCAAAGGACAACAGACAGAAGAAAAGAAAAATGCGTGACTGATGCCACACACTTGGTCATAATGACTGAAATATAAGCTTCCACTTAATCTATGACTGCTCCAGGCAACATAAGGCAACCCCCCTCTCCTTTAAACGGCATAAAAACTCTAATAAAAGGATTGAGTGCTGCCCCATGTGTTGTTCATAATACTGACTTTATTAGTTGGTAATACATAAGGTGTTATTGGTTGCTGCAGTCACATAGGTGTTTTTTTATCCACAAACATTACGCTTGAGACCCTAAAGACCTCACTGAGAAGCTGTCACAGGAGATGCAGAATTGGATAAATGTCTCAGCAATAAGTGGAAAGATAACAGTGTTTGAAATTAATGCTCAAAATATGCATTATCGTATTTTTTCCTGCTGTAAAAACATCAAGCAAATCAAATATCTAAATCACTACCATTACTAGTCTTCGGCGTACTGGGGACCCCCTGAAGGACCCCAAATCCCAACTTGAGACCTATTAGAAAAGCCTTCTTCTTAAGTCTGTCCCTGGCAAAGGGGAGGAGCGGAGACTTTCTCTGGACCAATTACAGAGCGAGAACGGACTTTTGCCTCTCGTGATTGGTCGGCTTGACCACGCTGCCTTGAGAAACAGGAAGAGTTCTGCTTTGACATGTGTTTTGCAGAGGGGGGAAGAGGAGTGAGCATCGCAGAGACACCGTTTGGATGCACACGGTTAAATTTGTAAGCACCGGCGTTAAACTTTCTCTAACACAAGCTAACAACATACACAAAGCTGAAAGTACGCGTACGCTTAAGCTAACGAGGGCTAGCGTTTGCTAATACGCCTTTCAGACACGAACTCTCGCTTGTTTATTTCATTATTATGATAGGTATATTTTTACATTAAAACAGATACTCACCCAAGGAGCCGTCATCTGAAACAGCACATTAAGGACACATGTTGCATTTTTACACCTGCGCAGTCACGGGGCGCTTTCTACTCAATTAATCACGCAGGTTTGACCAGGAACTAGTCTAATGAGAAACGAGTCAAATGATTGACGAGCATGAGGATGCCGCCAGTGATTTTTTTTTTCTTTTTAACAACACAATCTGCTTATTGTTTGTTGTTCCTCACCGTGAAGAGCTGGGTAAACACCCAGGCACTCACTTAGACTACTCTACTGCACCGAAAACGGCACAGAACAAACATGATAGCATTATTTTTAATCAGCGCAGACTATTAGCCAAGGCCATTATTGCCAAAGTCCATTATTCTATCTATGAGTCTATTACCATCTTGCTAAATGGCACGGAGTGTGTGCAGCGCTTATCCAAAGTGCACTGTACCATTGTTTGGCTCAGAAAATTTCTCGCCTTTATTGTCAGTTCAGGCAAACCCCTGATGAATACAGTGAGAGCTGCAAGAGTAGAAACAAGAAAGTTGAAGCAGACGCATTTGTGATCACATACCATGACAGATGTGGTGGTGGTGGTGGTGGTGTTGGTAGTATGCGTGTGTGAAGTGCGGATGGGGGGGTGGATACGGGAGTAATCTAAAAATAAAAGATATCCATTCTTAAATTAAAAGTAGAGTGTGCAATGAGCAGTGAAGTGTTTTTGTTTTGCTTTGTTTAAGGGCTACAGCTTGTGATTATTGTTTTATTAAACAGTCTGTAATTTTCTGAAGCTCAAGGTGTCATTTTCTCCACTCCACAGCTCCCCAAAATTCAGTTTACGAGCAATGAAGACAAAGGAAAGAAGAAAGTGCTCTTAATTTGAGAAGCTGGATTGTTGAATACTTTTATTTTTAGTAAAAAAAAAAAAAATCAAATAAAAGGATTAATTATTGAAGTAGTTACCAGTTGTGGTTAATTGTTTCATCTGTAGTTTGTTTTGTTGCTTCCTTAAATAACTAGTGCACAAGATTTCACGTGGTGAGCATTGAAAATTTGATTATGGGACTTAAAAATGTTATAAAAGTCAGTTTAGCAGAGAAAGAGTTTCACATCTGTCAATATGCCAGGCCTGCAAAAATTAAAACAATTAGTTAGTCATTAAAAAAAATTTGTTATTCCTTTTTTAATATCATTCCCTCTTTATAGTCTGTCTTGAAACTTTAATTGTCATGTGTCATTTTTATTTTAATTAAATGCAACAAATAATAATTCATAGCTCCCATCAATGTACACACACGTGCGAGTTAACCATTTAAAAACACGTGGTATGTGTAATATTGAAAGCAAAAATGGAGATATTGCATTTGTGCACTTTAAACTTTTCAGATCATCGTTCTGGGAAGGAAAGGTTACTTGTTTGAAACTTACAATCAATGTGACCTTTATTTATTATAACCCCCATCTCTCAAAAACTCACATATAACATAGTCAATCATCTCTCCTTCCCTCAAAGTAAAAATAAAAAAGGAACTGCTGTCTGGTTATTGCCAGTATCCATCTCAGTCGTCAGAAAAGCTGCACGTTTTTGCTGTTGTTAAGGGCTGGAAACCAGAATCCCATCGGAGTTGCACCCTAAGGAACAAATTTAATGCTAGAAAAACATCCCGGCCATCAACCAAAAATGACGGATTGAAAATAATGTCGAGCTATCTTGGGAATCCCCCACCAGACAAGGGAACAGACTGCATTGTTTTTCTCATTTATGTGATATATAGAACAGAAAGAGGGGAAAAAATGGGCGATTTATTGGTTAGATAGGCGTATTCTTTTCCATACACAGAAGAAATATTGGATAGTAATGTGGGGATCAAGTCACATCATGACATTGTTTGGAGGCAAGGTGTTCAAATATGTAAGTCATCTTCCGTTGGTGGCCCGCTAGGTTTTCAATAGATCATTCAATGCAAATATGTGTGGGAAATTGTGAAAGTTGCCACATGAATATGTCAATGAACGTAGTGTAATTTGTACTTCCTCAGCAGGGCAGCAAGATGAAGAAGCAGGGGGAGAGCCAGTGCACTCAGAAGACCATCTCATTGCTGAGCCCCCTGGGGACGATCCAAGTCAGTGGATGTGAGAATGGTGTGCACACCATCCAGATCCTAATGGATGTCGCACCTGCTGAAAGGTACTGTACAACAGCCGGGCTGGTGACGTGATAAACAAAGGTGTGAAATTTACAGGCAGACAGAATCCACTCCTGTGATGGAGTGCCACCATTCCTCATTGGAAGCAGGGCATTTTTGTAGATCCCACAAGAAATATCCTGGAGAAAGTTGGGCAAATATGAGCAGGCACTAGAAATATGAGGGGCACTAGAATACAGTTGGGCTTGAAATTAGATTTCTGATGGCATGTGGTTGTGATTCTTCCTGCAGTATATTTGAAATTTCAGAAAAATAACTTGTTTATTACCCACAAGGGAGTTGATTAGAACTGATGTCTGTAGGGTCAGCAAAGGCCACGGGGAGCATGGACTGTTCTCTCCTGTTTATTTATGTTTCCTTCAAGTTGTATGCAGTAGTTCTGAGTGTCGACTGACACTCAGAAATGTAATATGTGATTGCATTTCTCGGCCTGCCCATCCCTCAAAAGTGTCAGGAACGTTGACAGTCTTACTGAAGCGATTGAAACTGATTAAAGGCAGCATTAATAAGTGCCTCTTCCTTATTTTTACAGGTCCATATCCTACAGCTCAGATTAGTTTTGATTAGATTGAAATTAAATATCCATGTATCGCAGATTCGCATTTGATAAACTTGAATGGTCGGGGAAATTAAACGATTTCCAAATGCACCCGGATAGGAAGTTATCCTTTTGAAAATGTATGTTCAAATTCTAATTTATGGAAACCCATTAATGACCTTGTATATTATACCTCAACATGTGTTTCCTTCTCGACTGTCTGCTATTTCCTAAAATTCATCAAGCAGTAAAAAACATTCCACTTGTTGTTAATGAGTTGAAGTGAGAAAATTAATAATATGGAATTTTGATTATGGAAGATGTCCTGTAACCATGCACAAGCACCTTTCTCCGTCTCCTTGTGAACAGGGTTTAATTTGTGTGTTCAGGTTCAGTAGGAATATGCAAATGAATTTAATGATTCGCATCACTAGATCATTTCTCACTTTAATATCATTTGCTATGTCGGTCATAAGTGAAGCTCTGATCACATCGCTGTATGTTTGCAAAGGTGTGAGCCTCCCACCACCCCCACCCAAGAAAAAATTACTAGTAAAAATGTTTAGATTTTATCTCAACCGGTTGAATATATTGTTATTGTCACAGGACGGGGAAACTAGAGCCACCTTAGATATATGTAGTAACGCAATGTAAACAGGCATTAAGGGAGGCGAGATAAAGTGACAAAATACAGGCTTATCTTTGCAACCGGCTTTACATGTAGATCTCACCAAAGCCCGCCTGTAGCAGTAATAGTTCAGATCAGCCATTTCTATTGATTTATTTATGACATACTAAACAAGGCTCTTTCCAGCTTCGGATGTGTTGTGGTACAGGCTTAGAAAGTCACTGTGATAAATGATCTCTAAGAGCATATTTTAGATATGGGAAATAGATAATGTCCATTCATAGCATAAACTCAGACCTATAGCAGATATTTGCCAACGAGCCAGAGCTTTGAAGGCTTACACGGCCGCGTTTGCCTCCTGCGTTTCTCAGACTTCACTATTGCTTGGCGTTGAACAGCTGGGCCAGCAACAGAAGCATTTGTGGCATTGATAGATAGTTATTGATAAATGCCATTATAGCTACATAAACGCCCTTGAAGTATTGCTTACACACCATGACCGTCAGCTCTTTCTAATAGAAACGTCTCAAGCCCCTTTTGCTTCCTAACTGATCTTAGGAACATTTCCTGAAATCAACCTCCTCTGCCAGTCTAACGACAGCCCTGAAGGCACCATCAGATGAACAAATTCATTACATCTCAACAACCCCTGTTGGGGCCCTACGCACCAGCCTCCCTGTTAACCAGTTTCCCCCCCCTTTAGTTTTTAGCATGGCCTCAGCGTTCACAGAAAAATGATACGCATTTTGTTTACAGGAGATTACTATTATCTGAAATATGATGCTTCTTGCCTCTTTCACACAGAGCACAGACACATAATACAGAGGAAATCATAGAGCACTTTTTTATTAGGGTGAAAAATGAAAAAAAAGGGCTGGACTCCTGCCCCGAGACATTTTGTGAGCATATTATTTTACAATGCTTTGATCAATTTGTCTGTCAAGCTGGCTGAGATGTGGGGGAGCAGGAAAAAAGCAATTTAGCTTGTGAGGTCCTCAATAGAAATGTACTACAGGAGCCTGTGTATGACATGTTGCATTAGAACCTGAGTAGCCTTTATTGCCTGATAATGTTGCAAGGCAATGCTGATATCAATCACCCTTTAACAGCCAGTGTGATGTGTTTTTATGAAAAAAGAAAAAAAAAAACTGAAATAATGCATGAAACATTTTTTGGAAAATAATTGATTTAATTCAGAGCTGAGGGATTTCTACTTTTAACAACAAAAAATATTGTGTTGGTAAAAACATGCACAAAATGTGCTAGGAGCTAAAAATTGTTAGGAACAAGATCTTTTCGCATATGCTTCTATAGAAAATTGTAATTAATTTTACACGGATAAACACTTCTGTCTCATTTGCATATAGATATAAACAATATATTTGTGCGTCTGAATTCCCAGCACACTCGGGTCACGTGATCTGCCTAAAATCCTAAGTGGCTAAAACCAAAAATTATCATTATACTTCCCAGGCCATAAATCCCCCCCCCCCCCCCCCGTTTTTTTTCTCTGACACAAAGCCTTATAAATCTGTGTCTGATTTTTCACATTGCACATTGTTTTTAGTTAATGATTTTCATCTGTTTGTTGTTGCTGTGATAGCGGGGAAATGTACCATATGCTCCGGCAAAAGACAAATGATTAGCAAATGAAATTCTGGACAGCTGTCTGACTGAAAGCGTTTGGTTGATAGCATTCTGCTACCATAATTAGCTTAAGCTTTGGGTTAATTAACTTTCTACCTGGATATGCATAATAATAGCATTCTGGAGAAAGCCAAGGAGCTTCCAGTATATCAGCAGCAAAGGCTGGCTTTTTATTTTGTATTTCGGCTGCATATTTCAATTTCAAGAGGCGATTTAGCTCGGGAGCATCGTCAAATATTGTAGATTTTACTCCCCAAGCCAGATAATTCTGAAACAATAGGGGTGTATTATGTGGCAGAAATGCCATTTCTGAATGTAATTAAAGCGGATGAAAGCAATCACCGATTTTTAAACGCTTTTGTCTAGCATGAGGCCTACTTGTAAAAAAATACCCATCAAGAGGAGAAAAGAGGCAAGAGAACCCCCAAGTCCTTATATAAGAGGCCTTTGAGACTGAAGTGAAGTACAACAGTAATTAGTCTTTTGTATGAATTTGCTGGCCATGGTCATGATTAGTTAAGCATATGAGAGGACTGCAGGACTGCATTGCTCTTAAGGAGGAGGGTGTTAAAGTCTATTTATCACCAGTTATCCTCACAGCTTTCCATTATCACTGACAACACTGGATGGGGCCTGAGAACAGCCTAATTGTTCTGAGGTGGAGTGTTTTTGTGTCAAATCTGCCACCCCACTCACATTGGCATTCATAAGCATCCAGACATTTTCCATCTATCTATCCCTAATACCCAAGCTGTCACAACAGCTTTTACACACTACCAACGCTAGTGTGAAATATCTGAGGTGATGCATTTATCGTTTTTTGTTTTTTCTTTCTTCTCACACTCATGTAGTGTTGTGAATCAATGTCCTGGTTCACGCTGAATAGCAGTATGGCAAATGTGTTCCTTATTCTGAGGGGCCTGTTTACATGATGTGCTCACACACCGGGAAATATAACAACTCTTTTTATTCCACTGTAATTTTTCTCTCCGCTTCTCCATCTATGGTGTATTTCATCTAACGTAGGATTTTGTTCATTTAAATTATAATTTTGCTTGATATGTAGATATATACATACATACATATATATAGACACTGCTGTGTGCTAAATAAACTGCTTACATTTGTAACTAAAATGCTTTGTCATACAAACCATGAACTGCTGAGATATTGAATGAAATCATCAATAAAACAAGGAGAGATTTTTTGACGGAGTCCCTTTAGAAACGGTATGAATAATTCATTGTGTAATGATATTCTGATGATTTTTGTTCTATTTTTTGCTGCGGCCTTAGAATATTGTTTTGCATGTTGTGAAGTGTAGTACTCAGCTGCGTATTCATTAAGGTGCTGCTCCCACTGGCCCTTGGACCCATCTGTGCTCTATGTTTATGCCTCCATCTCCCGGGACCGTCCCAATCAGGCTGCATGTGCCATTTCCTGTGTAAACCAACACCTGTGTAACACACTACCTGTAAACCGCCCCACACAGACGAGACACTGACATTCACTCAGATGAAAATCTGCAAATGTTGTGGTTTCTAAAGCGGAGCCTCCAGGGTGAGGTTTTGAGTTGAATGAGAGTTGCTGCTCACTGTGGAGATGCAGCTAAAAGCAGCTCCTGCAGTTTTTTTGTTTCCCTCCCCTTTCCCTGCTGTCGACCGGGAACTTTTTCCAGCATAAGGGTTGCGCTAGTTTGTTTTAGAACTTGATTGGATTCTATATCTGCAACATGCAGAAGTGTACAGTGTGTGACATACTAAGGCAATATGCAGAGAGATGATTCCGCTCTGACATCTTGGAGAGGAGTACGAGTCAATTATGCCCAAGTGTTGTTCTTGCTTATCTTCCTGCGGCACCAAACAAGGATTTAGTCAAGGATTTAGGGGTGAGGGGGCGGTGGTGGGGATCATGGTAAGCGGTTCACAACAAAACACTCAAAACTCTTGGGAGCGGGCACTGATTTAAAAATAAATTACAGAAGACGAAGCGCTAACACTCAAGGGCCCTCAGCAGTGCTGGCGTACACAGGTGAAGATTAGCCTCCTCGCTAATCAGAGGAACAAGGCAGTAATTTGCTCTGAACACAGACAGTAATTAGGACTTGGTGACACTGGATTCCCATAATGCCTTTGTGCTTGACGTGGTCAAATTTTGACAGAGGCTATCCATGCAGGGTCACTGTCCCCCCAGTCTCCCGGCCCTCTTCAGTTGAGGCTCTAAAAGGTCCCTGCAGTTACAGGGGATCCCTAATGTACTTTATGCCTCCCTCACTGGCTCCTTACCATTCGGGTAATTGGAGTCTCTTACTGTGGCACTTGAGAATAGAGGCTAAAAACGCTATTTGAAACTGCTCAGTAGTCTGTTGTAGATAAACATTGCGGCGTCGGGGTGTGGATACACTACATAATGGAGTAAGAGTTAAGGCTCTGGTAATACATGCCTTCACTGACTCCTGTGGCTAGCCAGTTGGGAGAAGACCTAATTGTTGTGTGCTTTGTTGCCTACTCTGCAGTATTTTACCACCACCTTTATGTATTGGATTGAGTGTTGCAGCCTCTTTGGCGGACATTCACTAATAAGAGTTGCGGGATATCTAGAGAGCAGTTTATCCGGCCCAGTTGTTTTTATTTTGAAACAGCGGAGCACAAAACGTGCACCCCAGAACAGAGTAGGAAGCATTCCTAACAGCTTCCCACTTCAAAAGCTCTCGAGTTTAGTGCTGCACTGCCTAGATAGGCATCTGAATGATCTTCCGATGGTTGAACGAGCTGCATTGAGCAAGTGGCTTACAATTGTATCACAGCCTTTGGCTCAGAGACCATCAGGATCTTGACATTCATAGAGACATGCTGTATTTTTTTCCCTTTTTAGACAGTCATTTTAGGCTTTTTTCATGCTCTCTTGAGTCTTTGACGTCTCTGAGTTAAGTATCTGCAGCTATAAGGCTGAGGAAAATATTGGACTGCTCTTGGCCTTTTCTATTTCATCCTCTGACCCGCCATGTTACCCATGATCGGTGAAGGAGAACTCTGGCAGGCTGTGTCAAAAGTGACAGCCGATCGAGTCAGGATGAGCGCCATCACGCTTCACAGGATGGAGGCATGAGTTCTGAGTTTTTCCCCTTTTAGTGCAATATACCATTACACCCTTCGCCAGATTCCTTTCAATTAGATTCTGTGGTTAACCTGTTTCATTCTTACGTCTGCAGCTGATAGAAAAAGTCTTACTGAAGTCTTGTGCAACTAGAGATACAGAAAAAGACTAATTTAATGTCAGCTATTCTTTTCTTTTTTTTTCCCTTTGTCTCCTTTGATTGTTTCTTCCAGGATGAACAAAATAGCCTCCAACATTGTATAAATGCTCAATTCATTCTTTATATTAGAGTTGGAAAATGGGTAGAACTCCAAATGAGTCCCACTTTACGCAACAATGATTTATGGTAATTGGAAATTGATTGTGACAGGAGCACAATATTAGAAAATTTCTCAAATCGCAATCTTCTATCAAGGGAAATATTCTTTTTAGTGCAGCAGATCCTCGGCTAGTTTGGAATTAGTTTCTGATTTCTTTACCTGTGATGAAATAGTAAATGGCTGAAGGACATGGAAAAAAATATGATTTATGTAGTCAAAAGATAATAAAATAACAATTCTTCTTTAACCCAATTTGAATTGTTTGTTCTAACGTCAACACACTCGCTACACACGTTTATTAAAATACTCTTTATAATCACTGCTAATTATAATTCTTGGTTTTCATAGAGCGTTGGCAGTTACTTTAGTACAATATAAAGATTGTTTCCCCTTGGAGAGTTTTGTTGTAATTAGTCCGACATTTATTAGACATCTCTAATCTCTCATTTGAAGGGCACAGCTTCTAATGTGCCAGTCTGGACTCCATAAAGATCACATGATGCTGCCTGATTTCTGATTCACTGAAGCGGCTGGAAATGTTGCAAGCACAAGTGCTACATCTCCACTGCCCACATGCTCTTTTAAAAACAATCCCCCATTGCACCTAGAGGTGACAGACTTCAGCTCAACTGATGTTGTTCCCCCCCTTTTATTTATTTATTTCCTTGTTGTTTGCCAGCCATAACATGTACTGCATTGCATTAACTTTTACTACTGTCAATGTTGTATCAGTCAAACACCTTTTAAAAACGGGCGCATCCGTAAGCTGGGAGGAGAGGAAAATTAGCCACAGTGACAAGTCTGAAGTGTAAGCACAAGGTCAAAGGTGCCAAGCCTTAAGCAAAGGTGCACTAGCCTTTGTCCGGTAGATTGTAAGGGCCTGCGGGTCCAACAGGAACATTTCCACACACAATATCCCCGAGCTGTCAGTGTGCAGCGGCTGGAACATCCTCTCGGAGAGAAAGAGAGGGTGTGGAGGGGCAGAGGAGGTGGTGGTGTGAGGATGCGTGTTGTGGGGGGGTTGAGGGTGTGTAGAGAGGGAACAGTGGCCTGAAGATCCTTGCTGAGAGAAAGAGAAGTTGGGGGATGGTGTGTGTGTGTGTATGTCGGGGTGTAGGTGGTGGGGAGCCAAAAGAGCTGGAGTGGGAGGATAGAGCAATAGAGAGGGGGAAATGAGGAGGGAGAGCTGGGGGAGGGAGGGGAGGGAGGGGATAGAAAGGAGAGACAATGACAAGTAGGGGCTGGCTGGGCACTCACCCATGCCGACAGAGATTGCCATGAGCCATGGCCATTGTTTGAGCGGGTCTCAGCACAGAACCCGCTGGTGGGTTTCCAAGTTTTCACCACTCAACTATAAACTGCTGTGTGGTTTATTTAGAAATGAGAGTATTTACACCTTTTACTGTATTTACACCCACTGTTAAACGGCACCCGGGAGATTTTTATCACACAGCCACAAACTAGCAAGCAGAGTGGTTTCTCTGAAAACTGACCTGCTCAGTCATAACACTCCAGTAAACCTCAGCTTCACGTGTCCAATATAAAACGCAGCTCAAACTGTGACCTGCACAAGTGTAAAAACACTTTAGGGCCGCGCTGTTACGGCGTGCAGGAGAGAGACGGTCTGTGTGTTTAACAAAGTAAATGTCTATTATTAATACCGTACAGGACAAGCCAATTTTGAAAAAAGGGGGCACTTAAATGGTGGTATTATTTATTTATAAGTCCTGTACACCAGTTAATGGAATTGGCGGGCCTGCTTTAGATCCACAACACAGCTTGAGGTCCACTTTGGAGTAATGCACATGCTAAGAGAGGACTTTCCCAGTAGGGTCTTTAAGTGTCAAATATGGGTCAGTCTGCTTGCATTGACCTGGGGGGTGGTCAGCAGCAGAGAGAAATTCAGCTGTTAAGTGATGCCAACTCAACCGTCGGCAAATTCCTCCAAGCATCTACTCAAGCTAAGATGCATGTCCAAGTGCGGCGCTTTTCTGGCCAACATCGCTCTGGCCAAAAAAATCCATTTATTCTTGTCATGAACTATAAACTAGACCCAAGCAGAGTTGAAACTGTTGTTAATGCTGTGCTCTTAACTTTTGTCTGCTACTTTTCTGTTTTAAGAAACCGTTTTTTCTCCCTTAAAGTAGTTTGAAACGAACTGTTAGCGGTTTCTTATGACCTGACGGTTGGTTTTTTTTTTGTCTTTTTTTCCCTTTCGTACTCTATTATATCTACTCTTGAGAAAATTCTGGATTTTGCCTTTTTATCTTCCTGAGGTTTATTCTGTCTTCCAAAGCTCTGGTATCCGTCAAAGCCGAGCGACATGCAAAAATGTACAAGTTCAGATTTTAAACACGTCTTAATTTACAACTTCAGTTCCACTCAGCAAATTATGTCATCTTGCATCTTTGTCACTCGTGGCATGTTATTACACTCTTGTGACATATTTAGCACTGTTCAAGCAAGAATTGGGTATTATGATTGCTCCTCTGATCCCCACCTCACCTCCCCATCCTGCCTTATATCCCTCACAGGAGCAGCGGCGGCCCCCTGAGCTGTGTGGTCAACGATAGCCTGGCAGAAACGAGCCCTGAGTTGCAGCGCTGCGTTGAATGGCTCCAGGCGTACTTCAGTGAGCCGCAGACCACTGGGAGTCTCCCGCTCCCTGGCTTTCACCACCCCGCCCTGCAAGGAGGTCTGTCATGGATAAATATTTGCAGAGCCATGACTGGGATCAGGCTTTCACTCTTAATTGTCAGTTACATCACTTACACTCACTGGCTCAGTGTGTTATAATGAAGTATTTTATGGCTGAGAGAGAGAGCGAGAGCGAGTGTGCGAGGAAGAGAGCGAGAGCAGAGGAAAAGTGAGTGAGTGGGTGAGTGAAAGGAGAGAGAACAGAACACAGAGCTGTAACTTGGTTCAGTAATCTGTGGGAGCTCTTACCACGCGTGTTAGTCTTGGCAAGCTTTTCCATGATTCTTGGCACATTCTTTGAAACTGATCGAATTCCACTCTTGACATTTTCAGACAGGAAGCTTTTTTTTTTTTTTTTTTTTTTTTAATGAGAACATGTGAATGGTGGTAAAGTTTGAATGAGCTTATTGTTGGCTTGATCAGTCACCTACTGTGAGTGAAATGAAAGCACCCCCCCAAAAATGGACAATTAGTGTCCTTTCAACCGGTAGCTTCGGCGAGGCGAACGACTAAAGATGCAGAGGAAAACAAGAAAACAAAAGCAAACAAAATGAATATTTGATTGCCAACCGTGGTTTCGTTTCGAGGAAATAAATAATATCGTAGCCCGACGACTCATTTTTGAGATTGTAAACAGAAATTTGTTTTCAAAACAATTGCGGGCTGCTCCTTTGTCACACTGAGATGCTCATCGCATTTTAACTGAAAGATTTTCAGAAGCTCTCATTTAGACACAGAAGCACACCTACACAGGAAAAAAAATGACTTTAATATATGCATTTAACAATTGTGCCTCTCTTCCCCTGCAATCAGGCCTTAGTTGCTCTCTAATTTCATGCAGATCTGCAGTGCTTGAGTGATGGCATTTTCAATGAGCAGGTACTCCATCGAGACCCTGTATACAGCTATGAGTCCCACGCTCCCGCAAAGGCAATGCAGAAATACATCAGGACCAATTACGATATCAACTTTCAGTGTGATTCCCTTCGCCACCAAGTGCTTGTGTACCAGCCCCAGGCTCTTTCAAATCGCATCTCATCTGAAGTCTTTGGGGTTTTAATTAAATTTCAGGATAGATGGAATTCTTCATTAGTACCTGATCTGAATAGGTGATTGTGCTGTGTTCCACCTCTCTCCCTCGCCTGTTGTTTTGGGGCTCCGTAAATACAGGGTTTAGGCTTGGATTGCTCTCAGTAGTCAGAACCATAGGCCATGCCAGTATAAAAATGTTAAATGTGAGCATCAAGAGTATTTGTCTTTTCAGGGGGGGAAATGGAAGGTTCTTTTTTTCTTGCTTGTTGATTCACAAATATTAAGTATCTTTTCTTTTTGCCTTATTGCTGTAAAAATTCCTCCTCGATCTAGTCGTGCAGCCTCTGCCTGCCTGGGAAAAAAAAAGATACAAGTTTAATCAGGTCATTACAATCTGTGACAACCAACTTTTGTTTGCTCAGTTATCTTGTGGGAGAACCTGAGCGCAACAGCGCTCTCGCAGCACTTGTCATGTAATATTGAGTTGTGACCTTCACTTGAAGTGTTGCCATGTTTATTTACACATTTCTGACAAAACAAGCCACTTTTCATATTAGCTGTCACGATATACCTGAGAAACAGAGGTGACATGAAAGGAGATGCAAGGTGCAGTTTTCTATACCGTCTCGACTGATTGTCATGCACAACATCACACGCAAGTTTGGTCGGCGGGGGTAAGGGAATGGCGAGCGCTCGCGTGCGTTATGCTCAGTTAGCTTGTGTTTGCGCCTGTGTATGTGCGCTGGCTGCCTCAGAAAAACACAGACACCAACGTGGGTTCTTAAAACGATGCATATTCTTATCTCATTAATTATACATCCATATGTAACAGACGAGAGGATCTTAGTCTCGGTAAGCGGCGCGGGGAATGTGCGGGGAGGGGGCCGTGCAAAGGGGGGGAAGGGCGCTCTTCAAAGCCCAAATGACTGTGTTCCTGCAGGAGTCTGAACCTCCCCCTGTGCACAGCGCAGGGCGAGATGAGACACTCACCAGGACTCGCCCCTGTGATGTGGAGAGGAATTAGGGAAATGAACGTTTTCAGAATATCGAATAATCAGAGAATCATCAGCACCCCGTCAGCCTTCAAAAGTATGGATCCCTCAAGACTCAAGAGACACTTTGACTGGGAGTCAAAGTCTTCCCTCCCATTAGACACAAAGGATAATGAGGTAGCTGCATTTCCACTATTGTCTTTTTATTCTCACCACCATGTACGAGGTGACTGTCAGCTGGAAGTCGTCTCTCCAAATCTATCATTAGCAGGGCTGATGGATTTCAGTTTATTGTTTTCCTTTTTTTGGCTTTCAAATTGCTCCCATACACAGAATTATGAGCAAATCAATCATATATGTCAATACCATCATAACTGCCGAACGTGTTCGATTTTACTCCGGGTAAATCCATCGCAGCCGCAGTGGCTCTGTCACCTGGCCTCATGGCAGGTAATGACCTGTGACATAATTATGGGGATGTCTGTAAACATGTAAGTGGTTCCTCTCAACTTTTATTTAAACAATTGACACCAGTGCTCCTCGATCTAAAGAGGGTCCTGACCCCAGACACACCGTATTAGGCTCTTTATGAAGTATGGGGCTAGGGGACTGCTCTCCAAGTCATTGCTGGTCCCCTCGAGTGACCTGCCTGAAGTCTCTGTCACAGCCACTGATGAGGGCAAAGTTCTTTAACCTTTGTGCCCTGCAGATAAAAGTACAGACACTTTTTGTCCAGAACTGTAGGAGATGTGAAAGCTTCCAGGAGAAACAGCTGCTCAGGATTAGTCAAAGGTGTACACAGCGCCATAGCTTGTTGCTCGGTCTGTTTGTAGGCTAAAGTTCCCGTCTGCGTCTGCCGGTGTGACTTTGGTTGTTTGTCAATAACGTTTGCATCACTGTGGATTTGTCGTAGCTGCAGTCTGGGCAAGTTGTCATCTACCCCGCCGGTGACAAAAGCGAAATCCTTATGTATCACACACATCATGTGGCCAAATCCGAGCTTTATGAGGGAGAGTAATGCATGAAAGGAATTTCAGGGGTGTATCTCATCTCCTCATAACATTAAGTCTGTCTGCATAAGAGCCCGTCATCTCGTTGACAGTGTGATTATTACCTGAAAAATTATTAAACAGTACCTACGGGCCTTGTTCAAGACAAAGAACTCACATGGGTGTGCATCAATCAAATGTATCCCCTTTAGGTTTTACACTTATTCCCCCCAGTTTAGGCAAATTGCCTTGTTCGCGTGGCTTTGTGTAGCAGAGAGTGACTATAAGGTAGCGAGGGAGCCTGGGGAGCAAAGGATGTTCACTCTGTAGAAGAGAGACAGGGGTGTGACATGTTTTCACACAATGCCAATTTAGAAGGATTTCACATAGATCACTTGTCATGTGCTCTCTTAGACCATATAAATGAGAGAGAATGGGAGATCACTAATTGAATTTTCATGACTGAGTACATGTATATACTAGAAGAAATTCACCCCCTCTTGATAACGAGACCATTGTTCCTCATCTTGTTCTCAGTGCAGAAAAAGAGTGTTTTGTGCTTTCTGCACAACCTCGGTGCATCGGCGTCTTAAGGTTTTTGAGATGCCTCAAATACTTTTCTTCAGCAATCAGAGCTAGACAAACATGCCTCTCAGTCACCGCCTGGTAATCCAGAAAAAAAAAGAAGAAAAGATAATGCTACTGCTAAAGTGCTAATGAAATCAAAGCCGTTAATGTGGTTGGTTAAGCTGTGGATGATTTGAAGAATTCTGCCATTTAAGTGAAGATGATATAATGAATCTACTCTGAATAGAAAGCAATTAAAAGGACAAATTGGTCTGATTAACCTCAAAGTCATCCCGCTGCCACAAATGGTGTGCAACATTCAAATTATTATTATTAAAAATCTGGAGCAGATTTGCAGTCTTTTTGGCCTCTCTTAATCCTTTTAAATGAAGGAGCGAACTTTTTTAATTTTAGCTGTGACCTTTCAAAGCATAACCTAGATTTTTCTGCCATAGGAATAATTTTCTCACGTCAGCTTCTGTAGCATGTTAATACTAGTTCTAAGGTCAAATTGAGGGACTTCTCTGTGTTTAGGTGCATAATGAGCAGTGTAAAGATGGAAAGAAGAAAAAAGATGGAATTGTAGGGAGCCAGGATGGACATTATAGTGTTCACCAGTAGGTGAAAATGCATTAATGAGTCAAACGTTGGCTTTTTAATTAAAAACAGCAGAGAGTTTAAAAAATATAACACATGTTTAAAGTTCCTTCATGTTATCAGCCTCTCGGCTGGCTGTTTGAGTTTGATTGATTAAATGAGGAACTCTCTCTTCCCCCCTTCTCCTTTCCCGTCTTTCTGTCACTCTTCCGTCCTCTTGCTTTCTGGCAAAGATTCATTCACCAGCCGCGTGCTGCAGGTACTTCTGAGACATGTGACGTTCGGAAAGACGGTTTCATACAAACGCCTCGCCGAGATGGCGGGAAACCCCAGAGCGGTGCGGGCGGTGGGAGGGGCTATGAGGAAGAATCCGGTGAGTATGGTTGACATTGATTGACAGGCTTCTGTCTTGCTTACTTTATTTAGTCAGACAGGTAAAGTAACGGTTTGTATTTTTTTTTTTTAACTTTATTAGCGACTTCAATATTTAACACATGCAAGATTAATTATGATTAGTTTTTCGGTGAATTTGCCCTTTAACAGAAAAGTAATTTTAAATTATTCTTAGTTTATATGTTGTATTAATACGTGGAAGCAGATTGCTGTGAACTATAATATTTATTGGGTAGTAATTCATTTTGCATGAAAAAATGACAGAATAGGCAAAGATCACATTTGAGGTCATTTCCTGGTGAGGTATTGTCTCTCCTAGTTTCCTAACTCGTGTGCACGACTGAAGTTTTCCAGTAAAATGCATTTTAAAAAGTTTTCCCCGATGCATGATATGTAATCTAAACTGTAGGCGTGTTCGAGTACGTGCGATGGCGAAATAAACACCTCCCTCTGAGCACAGCTGAGGAGGGAAAGTCTACCTACAGCACAATTTTAAGCCCACACCTTTTGTTCCTGTTCTCTCAAGTCTTTACTGTAGATGTTCGCTGCAAATCTCCGCTTCTTGTAAGAAACCTGGCCCGCATCATTTTGCCCATGAATCCACTGTGTACAAAATGGAGGGCTAGAGGGCAAGTGGTGTGTCTTCTTTTGATCAAACCCTTTGATCAAAGCCTGTTTAACTCTGCCCATGTAGTGCTGTGGGCACCACCGGTGTGCTCTGTGAGGCAGAGAGCACTTCTTGTACAGCAGCAGTGCAGCCAGTGAGATGTTCTCCCTCATATGTGCTTGTGTGCATCCTCGTCTTAGTGCTGGGTCTCCCAGCATGTTGTAATTGATGTTGGGTGGGGACAAAAAGTTATTTATAATGAGAGCGCTCAATTTATAACCCAGAATAAAATGTAGATAAACTAATTAATAGTGTCCTCTGGATTCTCTGTGTACTTTATACATTGCATTAGCCAGTGGCATTGCTGCTAGATGGCTGTATAATACCGCTCCGATTTAGCATCAGTATGTTTTACAGACATTTCTTTCCTCTCGTCCAGGAGGCTGGGAGCCTGAGCCATCAGCTCCTGATTCAGATCCAGAGTCAGATTGTCAGTGTCAATTACTTGTCAGTAGCACTGCTCCACTCAGGCTTTAGCTGTGAAAAGCTCAGTGTGCTCAATCGATCCTCCCCTCTCTGTGGCACTTCTTCTTCACCAGGATTTGAGTATTGATAAGCCTGGTGTAGTGCTCTTTTCCCCCCCAAGTGAAGAGGCAGATCCGAAGGCCTTGAGGGTACCCTGCTCTCCCTCCAAACCCGGGGAACAGTATTGATCTGAATACTCGAGCAGTATTTCTCTGTCTGCAAGGTTAATCTGGGGCTCGGAAAGTTTTATTGCTGTTGATATGGGAGTGGGTTTAATGATGGATTGAAGAGAAACACGGTGAATGTTCAGTTTTCATATAAAAGGCTGGAGGTGCAACCGTCACGTCAGCCTAACACAGTTACATTGGAGAAATACAGTCGCAATGCAGCGACGGTTGTGTTGCCTTTCCGGTTAGTATAACAAGAACAAAATGAGGGCAACATTAAGAATATTTTAAAAGAAATAATTGCTGTGATTCATTCCCAACCATTGCCACTCTTCTTGTTCTGAATTCACAATGATCGAAGTGTTTTAGGCTTGCTTGTTTAATCTTTCTCCAGCCATTTAGTTTACAAAGAACTCGGGACCCCCCTGGCAGTCGTCTGCAACAAGAGTAAACGCTCCACCGACTTCCTCTTTTTAATGATCACAGGGTTATCAGATCTTAATGTTGACACCCTCTCGATTGAATATTCATCCTGCTGGTGTTTTTGCCCATTAATTTTTGATTGCTTCTTTGCTTTTCACTATTAAAGAGTAACAAACATTTATACCCAAAGACTGAGCCATCACCCTGAATGTGGATTTGTGCAGGATCAAACCAGACACTTCTGGTGTGGCACTTTGTTTTCATGCAGTGCATGAATATAAAAAGTGCTACAAAAACAAAAGCAGTTCATATTTCCTGCACGTTGGTTACTTTTAAGTCACATCGTTTATGTGCTAAATCAGAGATTCTTTCATACATAATACATATCTACTATCAGCACTTGCAACTATTGTGGTGCTGTGACAATAAATGTCAACCTGAGAATAAGTATTTGATTTTTTTCCAGCGGTCTAATCTGCGTTCCTGTCTTACTCATATATTACTTTTTGTTCCTCCACATCATAGCTTTTAGGTATTTAAATTTCTAAAGTTTAGTGAAAAATGTCCTTTTTCCCCCATAATTCTGACCAAATGTAAAAATGAAGTAGTTACTTTTTATTAAAAAAACACATTTTAAAAGTGGGACTTGGTCCTACAAATTCTAATATTTGTAAAATTGCACATGTTTATTAAATCCCCGTCTCTCTCTCTGTCTGTGCCAGGTTCCTCTCCTCATTCCTTGTCACAGAGTCATTTCTAGCAGTGGACAGAGTGGGCCGTACATGAGCGGCAAGGGCAACCATCTCAAACAATGGCTGCTCACCCATGAGAGGCAGGGAGGGGAAGGCTAAAGCATGACAGAGCCCAACTGTCCTTCAGTCAGTGCACACACGCGCACACACACATATATATATATACACACTCACAAGGCCAGGGTTTTTTTTATTATTATTCTTGTCTCTTTTTTTTCTTTTCTTTTCAGAACACAAAACAGGGCCATAAAGTTTTCCTTGCTTGGCACACACCGTGGAACAACTGGAGTAACTTGTAAATATTCAGTTTATAATCCTTTTTTTTTTAATCTAAGAATAGAGATGCTGCATAGTTAATGTGATACAGAGTTGTTGCAGAATTAGAATGTACAAAAATAACTTAAACAGAGAACAGTAGGAATTACAAACATATGCTCCCGTGGGTCTCCGTTGCGTTTGCCAGATAGTGCTTGGAATGGTTTTTCTAAAGAATTATTATTCCCTTAAAAATATGTCTCTTGCATTGTTGTTGTTGTTATTTTTTTTCCTAAGCAGAATTAGTCTTTGTACCTCTCGTTGGTTTTTTAATTTCCTGCCAAGTGAATGCTTTGTTCAACATCCAGTGATAAAGGCTCTGAATTTTACGGCTACAAAGCTTTGTAGTGAGGCATTTGTTTTGTCTTCATTTAGATCTCATTGTTTGCTCTCGCCTTATAATCCACCTCGAGTGGAGAGTTGTCCTATGCATTTTATACTGTACTTTTGTTGCGTTAGACATGTTTAAATAAATCTGTCTCAAACTGACAAAATCCCGTCTTTTCATCATTTTAATTGCGTTTAATTTAAAAAGTGATTTCATGTAGCATTCACTCAGTTCAGCTCATGATTAATTATGCTGTACGTCTCTCTCCTTGCTGCTGCTCTGTATGTCACAGCTCCTTCTTTTTTATTTCTGAGGGGTGTTTTCCATTAGAGGGCAGTACAGAACGGGAAACAGAAATCAACATTTCAACCTTGAATTCATCCTGAGCGTTTAAACTGTAATTTAAATGTTTATATCCTTTCTTTAAAAAAATACAAATTTCACCACAACGTTATTTCACCCCTTTGGGATATCTTTTTTCCTTCTTAAAAAAAAAACACCATATGGAGAGGGCAGCAGCAGCGGAGGTGCATTTAGAAAAATCTGTTACTTTAATTGAATTTGCCCTTTAGTTTTATTTTCGGCGTTTTCTCGCAGTGATATTTGTAACAGTGACAGTTTATCCTTTTCCCCTTAAATTCGTGATTCTCCTCACTCTCTGGTGAAACTCCAGAGTGACCCTTACTTGCCCATAGTTATTCCTCTTCTGTTCAGCCCAGGTAGCCTAATAATCCACCCTCCAAAAATAACCTCAGCTCTAACCTTTGCAGAACCAATTCAAGTGGCCCTCTCACTGAATACATTTGAACTTTGCTGCATTTCTGAATTTCTTATCCGATCAGCTCCGTGTGGCTGTCTTGCCGTGCTGCTGGACTCACTTACTCTGCCATTGGAGCACCATCGCAGCGTAAATGTTGAGGCAGCAGACAGGCAGATGAAGAATGAGACTCAGTCTGTGGTTTCACAGAGGGCTAATGATGCCTGTGGTGACTACAGGCTACAGTCAGCCCCCTAACGAAGGGAGCTGTGACACAGCCACAAGGGGTCCCATTTAAGCCAGGCGCACTCTGAAGTGCACTGTAAGCACCCTCCTTTTTTTGCTTGTGGCTAAGTAAATTCTATGGAATGCTATGAATTTAGCAACCAGAGATACTGATGTCTGTAGAGTGCTGTGGTTGATGTTAAAAAACAAGTCCAGCATCAAAGCTTCTGACATGCTGCCAGTAATTGGCCGTGTAATTTGCGGAGGTACCTAAGGAGTCTCCTAAAAATAATTCGCACCTTTTATTTTGTCCAGTTTTACACTTTTGAGATATTTTAGCATTTATCGGTAACAGTGTTGTTATTATTACGTCTGTATTGTTTTGTTGTTGTGCTTTCACCTTGCATACCTCTTCCACATCACGCTGGCTCAGAGATAAAAAGGAATTAGATTAAAAGACGCTGAGACGATCTCATCATCCGCACTATTAATCTCTGTGAAACCTTTAATTTTGGCCTAATATCTGCCTCCATTTCATAGAGAAAGACTATATAAGTGCATGTGTGCGTGAGCATGTGGCCTTGCATGTTGGTGTGCGCACATGTGTATGTCCATATGTGTGTGGGTGAAGTGGATGATATTGAGTCTGACTTCATAAATCACCCAGACACTGATAAACTCCCCATGCACCCACACACCGCTAATGGGCAACCCTTAAGGAGTGTGAGTGTCTCGTGCGGCGTTTGATTCAACATTTATTAACCCCCTCACACACACTCTCTCCCTCAGATACGACACACACTCATTTGAGCCCCAGAAAGAGCGAGGATATGGTTGGTGGCATCCGTAGCGGTAGCGCAGGGTTTTGACCTGGCCGGGCTGTATTAATCATGGCCAATAGTGGTAAGGTACGTTTTGGCTTATAGCACCACAACAACAACAGCCTCTGCATTTCCTAACATTAGTTTCCCTCTCATAACTTATATCCTGTCTCCAACTCCCTACTTCCCATCTCATATCCTGGCACCCCTCCTCATTATAGAACAATTTTCTGCCCCCACATCAAATACAAACACACTCTGTGCTTCCATCTCCTTCTCTTCATACATGTCGGCTCATAATTCTAATGTTATCGCAACCTGCACCCCTTGGTACGAGGCGCAAGCTTAGTGGGGACTCTGCGCAAGTTAATTCTGCAGCCGCTTCGGTGATCGATAAACAGCTGCTTTTATCCTTCCAGAGAAGTTTGTATGTTTAAAATGAATAAAAGTAAGACTTTTTGGAACGTGTAACTCAGCTGCCAGCCGTGCTCTGTTCCTGGGAACACAGAAGGAGTATCCGGCATGCAGATAGGCAATGTCCAACAGTGAGTCAGAGATAGACGCAGGGATAGATAGCTGGATAGACAGACATTAGACTGGGGCTTGGCTGCACTATCAGGTTTCCTCCCCCTCTGTCTGTCTGCCGGGACAGCCTGGCCTCAGAGGCCCTGACACCGAGGCACCACACAGCCAGCCACGACAGCTGCCACAGCAGCATCTAATACCAACACACTCCATGCTATGCCACGACTACAAAGAGAAATATCGTTTCAAACATGGCATACTTTGATGCTCTTGTAATGATCTTTGTGTTTTGAGAGAGAAAGCGAGGGGACAGAGGATTCGTATGGTGCGCCGTCTATTTTTTTTTCTTTCTTTCTCGTTTCTTTAGAACAAAGAGACTCCTCTCAACACGAGCAAGTTTAAAACAGTGTTGATGAGATGGAGCCGGATTAAATGAGAACGTAAAAGAAACCCTGAGCGGTATCAGCATGCGAGTGCGCGCGCGTTTGTAACCTTGTATCAGCATGTCATCGTAACCTCGTGAACTCGAGCGTCGGTCTGGGGGTCTCTAATTAGGAACGGCTGATGAACGGCCATACATTACGTGAGAGCGGGGGCCTGTGAGCGTGTATCCCTCTATGTATCAATCTGTGACTGTGCCGGGTGGCTGTCAGAGTGGTAAGGAGAGTGTCTCAGCCTGGAGAAAGTGCAGGTCTAGCCTTGGTCATGTTGACGGAGGGGGCGGCACTTCAGAGGCTCCAGGACCCCATGGCACCAGTCTCCCCAGTCCCCCAGACAGACTGGGAGCATCTGGGCTCTGTCAGCGCCTCTGGCCCCTGCAGACTCCGATCTATATGACGAGGGAGAGGAGTGCATTGGATCAGCGAGAGGGAAAATATGAGCCAGATTCCTCGACTTATGAGAAAAACCCGCGTTGCCAGTTTGCATGTAACACGTGGACGCATGTGTGGCTGCGTTAAGGCCTTATAACAGGTCACAGTGATTAAATTTGTATTATGTGAGATGGGGGGTATTGATTAGCGACTAATGCTGAAAAAGTCCTTTTTAAAAACTGTCCGATTAAGTATTAATTAAAAGTACGCCACGAAAAAATATGCGAAGCCTGTTCTGAGTAAAAACATCAAGATAAGACTGATAGATATCATTCCAGACTTTCCTATGAAAGCGAGCAATGATTTGATCAAGTAGATATAACTCTAAGCTGTGCCACATGAAAACTGATATACACACACTTGCCAAGACTAATTAATCCATACACTAAATTAGGAATATAAATCGCGGTCCCAATTTAACAAGGTCAGCTTTAACTTCTCCCTTTACACTTTTATTTAACTATGTAGTTGCGGGAAAAAAGAATCCCTATCAATGTGCTTCGCTTATTATGATTGACGATTGATGATTAAGTCCTCCAGCTGACACACACCACCAAAGCCGGTGAGTTGGAATTGGATGTGACACATACACAGTTCTGCGTGTTAGGTAATTCGTTGACGAGGGGCCAAATTCATTTATGGAACAGCGGTATTGGCAGGCATGGACACTCTCTGCAAAAACAACGATAATCACAGAGGTTTGGCGCGGCGTGACAAGGACTCTTCAGGGAAAGGCCCTTACACGCTGCTTTGTTGGCCGTTCCTCCCTAAGATGGAGGGAAACATCCGCCACTGTTCTTAAGATGAGAGGCGCTCAGAGCAGGAGGAAAGAGGTTTATGTAAGGTGCGGAAGGGCTTCATTAGCATTCGTCGAGTCTGTTACAATATCTGAAATGACCAAATTTTTATCAATATAAATTTAACTACTCGCTGCTTTTTTTCGGAGGGAAGAAGTGAGTGATATTCTTTCCTTTTTTCCCTTTTTTTTTGGTTCAATTGATGAAATAAAGGCTCTGATAAATCCTCTGTAATGAAACATGAGGGGGACCCTGTCTCAAGTCATTTAATCTCTTTTCACATTCTCCATTTTTTCTGCTAATGAGCCTTATTGACAATCAAACAGAAGCTGTCATCCCCCAGGATGCAACACTCCCAGCCCCTGCGTGTTTGTCATAGTGTCCTGGCAATCAGAGCTGCCTGCAAGACCAGGCTGGCAGTTAGTGGTTCTCACAGCAGCGCTGCCTGAAAATGGCACACTTCCTGTAGAGTTGCAGCTGCCACCTCTGCTACTTCCATTACTTTCTATAGCATGCAGATGTTGTATCAACATTCCCTGCCAAGGGGACTGCAATAACTGTGAGATTCATGCCATGTTTCAGAGGCACGTCAATTTCTCAAGTGGGACAATTAAAGAGGGAAATACAGTACCAGGTTTTTCACAGCCGCTGAAATCGGAAAAGGGCTTTTTTCACGTTTTTTTCCAAAGGGTGGCTGTTTCATAAGGGTTCAGAAATCCACCCGATTTTTACTGCCCTTTTCCTGAGTCGAGCTGTTCTGTGAGCCTTTGTGCGGCAGACCTGTTGTGACCCACAGCGGATATGGAAATGGGGCTAAGGTTTTATGGGCCAAACGGATTGGACACAGTCAAGCTCAGGGGGCATGAATATTGGATGTTATTTCTGCTCCCTTTTTATGTAATCCATTGCCAATACATTATTAATAGATGATATCATATCCAGAACTACTGGACAAAGCACTACAGAGGAGTGCTATGAAAGGAGCTCTATGTGGTGGAGACTGTGGCAGAAAAATACTGTTCAAGTGATATTATTTTATCACTGCAGCCTAGCACTCCCTGACCAGGCAATCTTTATAGTGTAATTTTTGGGCTAGGTGAAGTTCATGGAAGGAAAGTACGGTGAATGCTCTATTTCTACCGCGGGTAAATCCTGCATTTGTGGGTTTGAAATGTACTGAAACATTGATGAAGTATCAAATGACACCCAAATACAAGTTTAATGGATTTTGAAGCACTGGGATACTTTGCTCATCCTTCTTGACTGCAGTGAGTGAAGTGGAAATCTTTGTGAGGATCTAGAGTTTTCCTTCCAAAGCTGACTCCCAATGTACAGTAGCAGGGGAGCAGTGTCTTATCTGATGTACAGATTTACAGACGGGAGACGGCGCTAATGTGGGTCAGATTCCCAGTTTTGATTTAAATTTCAAATCGTTCATAAAAGGTCACACTCCCTATTTTGAGTTATTGTCATCTCCGAGTTGTGATCTGCAGTAGTGCGGCTTTTATGAGTGGAAGAGGCAGCTTCCCACTCATGTGTGAACTTCACGGGAGTTGCAGAGACTTTTTTTTCCCCTCCACAAAACACATCACTCAGCGGCTTCACAAATCCTGTCTGTCCAAGAGCAAATCCTTAAAAAAGTACTTCTCAGCACTGCCCATCAAGCAGAGAAGATAAAACAAAGCAAAAAAATCTAGCGTCCAGCTTTTTGTTTTACGACCCGTCCGGGTACTGTGCCCATGTTCGCATTACCACATCAATGTGGGATAATGCATTAAGAGTGAACGTATAAGCCTCAATAAGAGTTACATAGAGAGCGGATACGTAAGGTAATATTCCCTTTTTAAGGTCAGTTTGAATTGTTTTTTCTCATGGGAAACGGCAGATTGATAAAGAGCAAACAAAACCTCTTTTCTGAAAGCTTGTCCTCCACGGCCTCAGTGAAGGTTTCATTCCTTTATATCATCCAGCCCAATTCCCAGCATGCACGGCCATTGTGGCTCTTTCAACTGGAGCTCTCCATTGACTGGCTTATTGTCCGGTCGCTCTTTTGTGTGCGCTATCACCAGAGCACAATCTTTCACCTGAACAGCACAGGAGCGCAGCCTGGATATAGTCACGTTAAAAAGAAAAGGAAGGAGAGAGAGAGAGGGGAAAAAAACAAAACAAACTGAGTCACTCGTGTAGTTGCCAGGCGGCGCAATTAACCCCACGCCAGTGAAGAAATGTTTAGTACGTATACTGCGTATCAACTTGTAAAAATCTCAAGTGATGCTTGTTAATAACGCAGTTATTAGTCACGCTTGAGCGGCCCGCGTCACAAAGAGATGTTCAATATTACTGCTCAGGCTTATATTATCGAAAGGAGGTTTTTTTTTTGAAATATAACAATGCACAAGCAGATGTTTGAAGAGTGGCCCTCGGCAACACGAGGCCAGTTAAGATCGATATTGCTTTCAATATTTCTTTCCTTTGACAGATAACCAGTACCGAGGAAAGTCTTGATAAGAGTGGCAACATATGGATGCGGTGAACCTCGCTCTCTTTTGATTGCGTGACCCCTTCACCTTTGCTTGTGTTTGAGAGCGAGGCAGCCACATGGTATGGTGGGGGTCTGTCAGGCTTTGGATGTGGGGCATTATTGACCCAGGATTTATAAATATTTAATGCACACATTAAGATCATGGTGGAGGGTAGCCATTAGAGTTCTCCAATAAAAGAGGCTCTCACGATGATTGAATGTTGTGGCAGAGCCAGTGGCTGATTGTTGGGTACAGGGAAACCTGCTGAGACAATATACTGTACCTCGAGCTCGCCTGCCAGGCTTCAGAGCGCTCAAAACTAAACTTGTCTTTTTTTTTTTTTCTTTGATTGCACTTTTACCCTCAGTATTTTTCTTTCTTTGGCTGTTTTTGCTTGGTTTGGTTTCTAAAGAAATGTGCTGTTTGTCCTAACATTTTTTTAAAATAATAAGACACGGCGGTGCGCAGGAGATGGATCCAAACCTGTGTATCTGTGTGGCTGTTGTTATCAGACGCGCTGGATTATCGAGGGAATGATTTAAAGAACAAGGCGGCTGAAAATTAAATAGCTCTTTTTAGCGTATCTGTCCTTTGCGCTATCAGCAGCTCCTGGGCTATCTCCGGTGCTGCCAGATCTGCGCATGCTGTTTGACATAATAAGCTGCGATATGCTGATTGGCGCTTAATTGTGCATTTATGGCAGAGGTGGCCTCGGACAATGTTGCCTTGATGAGAAATTGACATTTTGCGACCTGCTCCCCGCGACCACTCAGGATGGCAGATAAGATGCTCAGTTGTTTTTAAGGAGAACCACTATTCTTCCCTCAAACACTTCTATCCTTCTGTTTGACCCACTTGATGAGTATAGATTTCACCACGGCCCCCTTTCAACGCTCTAACTATAAGAGGTTCAAAACGATACCAGCCCTTATAGACAAAGGATAACCTTGCTCTTTCAATGTATTGATTCTTTATTAACTAGGTGGCTTAATGCAATGAAATGAGGGATTTGAATGAGCCCCATTTGGGGTGTTTTGAATAAAAAGCTTGCACTGTTTATGAATGGCTACAATGAACCTTTGAAGCACCACAGATGCAGGATATGCTGATACAAAGACCAGTAGGAATATGTCACAATGTCAGAGTGCTTTGCTGAAAGAATATGAGTAAAGAGCAGTTTTCATCTTTTATGGATGTTACACTTTTTCCACAGGTGTCAAACAATTATCTCTATAGCAATGTCTAAACACTACATCTTACAGACGAATCACAGGTTTGTCCTCAGAAGTTTCTACTGTCTTTTTCTTGTTCCTGATTGTCAGTTTGTCTGCCAGCCAAACTGTACTTCAAACTGAAGAAGTCCACAGTTGAGTAGCTATTGTGTTTTTACTGAAAATTTTAATAAAACATCGCTTATTCATTTCTGTTTCCATTCCAAATGTTGAACAGTTTTAAATTTGTCTTCCCTGTAAACACAAGTAAGCTATGTGGCAGAGTCATAAGTGGTGAGTAAAAATGACTTCTATACATTCTACAAAACAGAAAAAAATACAACCACAGATGGAGTGTTTTTTTTTTATCTCCAAGGTTGTCCCTCATGCACATTAGTCTCTATTGGATCTTAACAACTATCATATGGGTCACAAACAATTTATTTGACAATACAACCAACAAAGTTTTCTCCAAAATGGTCTGTATAGATAATTTAAAATCAATACAAAAATAAACAATGAAGTTTGACTTCCCCTTTAAAAAATGGACAGAGAGTCTTGACGGAGTAACACAAATTTTGAGGATACACATGAAATATATGCACATTGCATTTCATCAAATACAAAAAGAAAAACAAATGAAGGCAACAGTTCTTGGCTGAATTATCTGTGCTGCATCACTATATTAAGGGCATGACGATTAATACATACATAATGAAAAGCAATATACAAAATTTCAGAGATAAATACATTATTTATAGTTGATATGTTACAAAATTTCCCTCAGTGAGCGCAAGTGTGTATTGGAACAGAAATATGACAATGAACTACTATAGTCCTACATTGTCAATGGATTGTAATTTAGTTTTGGGGTTTTTTTTCTTTTTTTTTTTCTTTTTTGTTGATCTAAAAGAACATGAAAAAGACAGATGTATAAATATTTAGCACACGTTTGGCAATATCACAATAGTCTACAATTTTTTTTTTACCACATATAAAACACATAAGGGAGTTGGAGCTAGGGGGGGGAGACTGCTCCTCATCAACAAGAAACAGACTTCACAGTAGCCTAGGAATGCATTAATATACAGTGCTAGCAAAAAAGTTGAAAAACATGGCAAAACACACTTGCTTAAAAGGAAGCTCTAGACATGGAAGTACATCATATTCATCAACAGAGCAGTGTTTTGTACACATCAGTGTGCTTGTTGAATCAAAGAGGATTTTTTTTTACTTTTGAAGATGATTTCTAGCTACAATAAATTACAAAATTTAAGTTAAAATGCAGGAATGAAACATGATACAACGTTACCCACCCAGCCCTGCCCCTTTTTACTCGTATTTGTTGTACTTTTATGATCGATTTTCTACATTATATATCTCATATATTTTCCAGTTGAAATTCAAACTGTCTTGGCCCCTGTGTATTTTTCTCACACATAAAAATACAAAAAAGTCACATTATAAAGACACACAACTGTTGTGAATCTATTAAAAGAGAGTTGAAACAGAAAACAATTTCTGAGGCAAACAAGTTCATTGGCAAATGTACTGTACATCAGTGTTTTTACTTTACAACCAGATGGTGAGTCCACAGAGTCCCTTCCAGTATTGAGCGTGTGGTTGATTGGACAAATCCGAGACCGAAGCGCAACCCGACAGGTATACAAAATAAACACTTCATCATCCTGTGTCCTCTTCAAGGGTGATAAAATGGGAGGAGGGTGGGGGAATAAACAAAAAAAAATCCCACAGAAAAAAAATATTGTTCATCATGAAATCCTTTTTTTTCTGCAGGCTGTGAAAGTCAATGAAAATTTAAAAAAAAAAAAGTCTTTCTTTTCTTTCTTTTTTTTTTTCTTCGTCTTCAAAAACAGAACAAGCGGTGGACTATACATTGCACCAGCCTTTTGCAGTGTGCTGAGGGGGTGCCCTGTGAAGTGGTAGTGGGTAGACTGGTGCTTGAGATGACGAAAGTGCATTTACATTGGAGGGACAACTAGGCCGGACATGGCTGGGGACAAAAAAGAGAGAAAGGTAACGGAGATTAGTTTATTAGGCTAAAGCAGGTATGGATATAAGTATGAAAAACTATTAAAGTGTTGTAATTTAGTGCATGCATGGCGTGTGTGTGTGTGTGTGTGTGTGTGTGTGTGTGTGTGTGTGTGTGTGTGTGTGTGTGTGTGCGTGTGTGGCCATCTGACAGTGCGCAAGTGCGTGAATGTAAGCCTTAATGTGCCTGTTTGCGTATGAGCCTGTGAGTGTTTGCCGTGTCCGCCAGCCTGCTGCTGCGTGTCCTCCTAACGGGGAGAGTTTGAAAACCTCCCTCCTGCTTTGACATTTCAGCCCCCAGCACGCCAGTCCTGCTATGTGTGATATTTCTCCTGGCATTGGGGTAATAGCAAACACTGGCCCAGACTCCCAGGAGACACAGCCGTGGTGACGGCAGAGCAACAACACGGTCACTTCCCACAATGCCACAATGCTACAGTACCAGACAACCAGACTCTCCTCTCCGCAAATTCAGTCCTATCACTTCCTTTCCTCCCGTCATCTCTTCTTTATCCTTGACTCTCCAACACCGAGCGGCACATTAGTCCTACGTTTCCCCATTCCCCAAGTTATGCCTCTGCGTCATTATCCAAGAGAGATTAGGCAAGATCAAAGGTAGCTTCCGTTATTTTACCGAGACCATCTGCTTAGGATATCATTAGCAACTGTACCTCACCCTGAGAGTTTATATATTCAGTATTTTCACACGTTTTAACAATTAGGCGACTAGTGAAGTGCTGGGATGATATATTATTATATTGCTCTGAGTATATTTGTAGAGTCATGGTTGAAATGCTTTTAAGTTTGCCAGCGCAGATGATGGCAAGGCATTGCTCATTAATTTCTGCACAACATGTATTAATAAGTATGAACGTGTAGCAAGATGAACTTTAATTTCCCACTTCATTAAGCCCAATGTTATTAATCTTGGGGCACACACTACGGCTAAGCTTGTTTTCAAAGCAATCATGTTGGTCATGACACATGCACAAAACCTAATAAACATAATTACTAAAACAATTCTGGGAAGGTCTTTTCCTGCGACATCAGAGGGGATCATTTGTATGAAAGGGCAACAAGGATGTATGTTTGTGTGAATGTTGGCGAAGACGCGGGATGAAGCTTGCGCTCCTACGCTTGTGCGTGTGTGCAAAGGCATGCTCTGTGTGAGTGTGTGCGTCTGAATGTAAACTGAAAGGTGTAAATTGGCCTGTCAAAATGCATATATTTGTAATGATTAATCCCTCACCAAACCGGACAGAGGCCTGAGCAGCGGTATCTGACCAGTAGTCCGTAGGGAAGGGATGAGGGGGTGAGGGGGGCTCACCTTGCAGTCCGTTGCCGTTGGCGCTGGTGCAGGAGGGGGGTGGGGAGGCCTGGGGTCGGACCACAGGGGCGAAGGCGCTCTTTTGTTTAACTGTGGAGACGATAGGGAAGGAAAGGAAAGGAGGGAGGGTAAGAGTGAGAACGTGCTGTGAGTAGTGCTCAAGAGGGAGAGGGCAGTTAAGGTAAGGCTGGGATAGTATTACTGCCAGGGGGGATACACGATCAGTACTCACAGGCCCCTACCATCAACATCTTGCCCAGTTGAACAAACACAGGTGGCAAACGGTGAAAGACAAAATGAATATTTCTTTGATTCTAAGCTGCGCGCGTGTTCTCCAAAGTGCTAAAACTAAACAAGCCCCCGTGAATAACCGGTAATATATTATCACCATCGGTAATTTTATAAACCCCCGTCAGAAATGATTCATAGAAGTGAAAACGAATGTGGGAGCTGGAATTAAATCAGCAGCAGCTTAGTGCTACTACAGCGTGCGATAGTGGCAAGCTACTCACTTCCATATGGGGAGTTGGCAGAGGATCCGTTGAGGAACCCAGGGGAGCTTGGCACTCCCAGGTTCATACCGGCATTGCCGTAGCCATTCATGCTGTTGCTGACGGTGTTGTAGCTCGACTGCTGTGGGGTGCTGCTGGAGATGTAGCCCCTGGGGGACACGCTGCTGGTGTTCCGGCTGTAACCCACTGAACAACACAAGAAAAAAGGAGAGGGATATTTTTTTAATGTATGTGGAGTGTTTGCTAATTACAGTAAAAAAAAACCAATGGAGTTTTGCTGTTGCAGTAAAATTTTTATATTAACGCATGCTGCGGATGCTAGTTTAATAAGAAGAGAACTTGACACGTTAATTGGACCCTTTTTTAAAAAAAAACCAGCGTTCAGACATAACTCCTGTTCAATTTTCTTACTTTAATAAGAAAAAGGAGGGAAATGTAACTATTTCTCATTTTCCTGCAAACCCCTTGGAATACCCTCAAGGGCCCACCTCCAGGTCCCCGCACCCCACTTTGGAAACCCACCTGAATTGCAGAGCCGTATCCAAAATCTCATACCTTGGTCATTTCCTTGTGACTCAGACACATTGACTGCTAGTTGGCTGCTGAAGGAGTTGACTCCCATCATGCCGTGGGAGGCTGTGTTAGCGAGAGAGGGGATCTGGTTGTGGTTGCGGGGAACGCTGTACAGGGCCTCTGCGATGTCAGCTGCCCTCTTCAGAATGATCTCCTGAGAAGCACAGGGGAAGGTTTTGTTATTTATGTTGTTGTTTTTTGCTTTTTCTTTATAGCTGTGCTTTTTCTTTGATGCATGGTTCATGACTATATGGTTAACTCACAATGCACGTAGCCTACATTGTTCCAGATATAGTGGTAAAAATACCCTTTGGTGATACTAAATTGTTTCTTACTTAGCAGAGGTACAAGCATGCTTAAATTAGCTGTGTGGACACGGACCTGATTGTTGTGAGGCATTCCATACAGGGCTTCAACGAGATCAGCCGCCCTCTTCAGTAGCACCTCCTGATGAGGAAAGCAGTGGGAGTAAATGTTAAAACCTAAAGAGATTACATTGGAGAGCCCAGTGGTACGTACAGTAACAGAAAATATCAAAAGCAACATTGCGCAGCAGGGTCGCGGGGAGCTTTAGAAATGTTTACATATTCAAACACTAAATAAAAGCCACCTTGATTTAAGAGGCACTAGAGCTGCATTTATATGGCACTACCATTTTACTCCTTCCAACCATGCAGAGCAGTGAATAATGTTCCCTATCTTAATTAAACTGGCATAGTCCTTTAAAAACAACACCTCACCCCTGATTCTGGGCTTCACGTTTGCTCCAGAGTTCACCGCTGAGTCCCCTCTCTTCAGAACAATAAAGTGAATTAGCTCTGGGTTAATCTAGTTCTGTTGTAATGACATTAAGGAATTTTTCAATTAACCTCTTTGACTGGCTGTTGCAAAGGACTTCACAAATGACTTCCCATCCAGCAAGAGCTGGGTGCTTGTGCCTTGGGGACACGGATGCTCAGGATGTGGTCTTATCCATGTCTGCATGCTTGCCCCCGCTTGACAATGCGGATTAGCTGTGTTGCTTTGGCTCTTAACACTGAAAATGAGTTGGCCCCGGATCCCGTTCCCCCCCACTCTCTTTCGGGCTTTCAGCAAGGTGGGGTTTGGCCCGTTTGTGTATCTTTATCTGCTCTTTGAATTCAGCACTTACAATTAAATCCCTCTCAAGCAACCAGGCTGCTCTCTTTGTTTTCTATAATACAGAAGGCAATATGCTCAATGAAAAATCCTCTCCTCCTTTTAGAGTGCATATAATCTGACAAAGGCAAGTTGCAGACACGGCTCTCGCGTGTGTTTTAAAACGCTCGCTTGTTGTCACCTGCTGTAGAGCAGAGATTTGTCGCCTGTGCTGTTAGAACCCTGGTTAAAAGCAATGCAAATCTGTCACCAGAAACATCTCAGATGGCGCTTGTTTTCTTCCCACATTCGCTGTGTTTTCTTTTGCGGGCCCCGGTAATTTGTCTGAAGTGTTCCATCACTTGGCAATAGCAGTGTGGGATTAAGACGGCAGCTGCCATAAATGAATGTAAACACAGCCTTCGCGCCTTCAAACAGCGGCCTCCAAGACTTGGCCTGCATTTCCAAGGCACAGCGTATGTAGTGTGTATGGAGCGTGTGTATGGGCCCTTTCATCCAGAGGAGCATATCTACCACAGTCCTTGATTTATCAAGATGAATCACTGTAGAAGCCACTTCCAGCGTATGCCATGCTCTCTTATAGAAACATATCGCTTAATCCACCCCAAGTTACCGGATGGGTGGCTCTTAGAATGGGCATTTACCTCTGAAATTGGTGTGTATGCTCAACGTTGCATGCATCTAGTTTGCATACAAATAAAGAATTATGGTTGTCGTGAGGCAGGTAGACTAAATGAGAGGACCAGCTGTCTTGATGTGTTCTCATCAGGCAGAACAGATTTCTCTCTCTCTTGCTGAGTGAGATAAAGTGGTTTTCTTTCTTTTTGTCTGCAGTTAATAATTACCAATAATCTATTCTATCATATTTCAAGATCTCCTACATGGCTCTCAATTTTAAACAACAATTAAAGCAATTAAGACTGTCGCGTTTGCAAGCCATGTTTCATTCTCTGTAAAACGTCCTCTCCCTCCTTGTCCATATGGTACTTTGCAGCAGTGACATAAGGAGAGCTTGGAAAAAGGAGGGAGGAAAACGATATTGCCTCTCATCCTTAATCTGTCGTTTACCGCGTGGTGTCTTAACTAACCAAGTTGACTCGCAGGGCTATGCTTAAGTGGCAACCTAGTCATATCCGAGGATGATGAGAAGTGCTGCACCCAATCAAGGAAGAAGTTTGTTTTCTTCTGACGAGACGCTTCCATGCGTATCAGCTCACGCTGTGAATACGATTAACACGGAATAGTGTTCTGAGGGCATTTCCATGTAAATCTCAATACTGCTCCAGCATAAGTGTAATTGGCTTTCTTGTCATGGAGACATATCAGAACACACCATGTTAAATTGAAACAATTAAAGGCTTCAAATGATTTCTGTTGTTCTGTGACAAATGCGTGACAGATTCCTTCTATTGTTTGCCATGCTTTGCATAAAGGTCTCGTGTTCCGCAACTGTCTAAATGGGACTGCTCAGATAACAGATCACCTAAGATTTAGGAGCCGTTTTATGTTATTGCTGAGAAAAAAGGCGACCAGGGGGTGGGGGTGGGGGGGGGGAAGCCATATCAAATGATGTGTTATAAAAAATATCTAACAATAAGGAGATGTGGTCTAAAATGGCCCAAATGTGATTCTTCAAGCAGTAGATTAACATGGATGTTGTATTTATATTATCACAGTTAATAAAAAAGGGCCTAGGTTATGTAGCTTGGAGTGCTAATGCCATTATAAAACTGTAAGGCAATTACTCTGTTAGCTCTAGCCTGAGGTAATGAATGCATTTAGAAGCATAGGGCCATTAGATGAAGGTACTTCAAAGAGCACAGGAAGAGAGATTCATTTAAATACATGGGTAATTGCTTGACATGAACACATTTGTAATATTTTCTCCTTGTGGATTACACAAAGAATTGGAAAAGAATGGGCTTATGCTCATTTTGGGAGGAAAGAAAAGAATCCAAAGCAATCAGCTTAATAATAAAACAATATTGAGTTTCCACTTTTAATTTCATAATGAATCTAATTTGTTACAGAAGAGAGAAATTGAGTGTGATATAATGTGATATCCAGTCTATTTGTCCATTACTGCCAGAGGGCACAAAATGGTATTATAAATTGTCTTTTTTATATTATGAATAGAAAATTGTTTTATAACAAGATCTTAAAAGGGAGGGTGAATTCCAAAGTCTCTCTTCACTTAACGCAATGCCCGCAAACCAATCTCCTTTCTCATCACTTGACTGCTCACACTTATTACTTTCATATTCACCCTGGACTTTGCATTGAATTTTTATATCTCCACTCCTCCCACAGGGTCAGACTGTCATCTACGATGTTGTCTTAGAATTACGAGGTAAACTTCAATCAGAGGCAGCTTCCCCCCTTTTTTCTCTGTGTAGCAACAATATTAGCGTGCATCCCTTGCTATCCATGAGCACTCCCATATTGGCTTTCTGTCTCCTTACAATTACCACGTGTCTTACTGGTCCCAGGGAGAAGGCTGGTGGAAATCAATAGTGGAGTAATATTATCAACTGGAGGGTGAAGTCATGGGAGGGGGGAGTAGAGGTGGTGAGTGGGCTTGGTGTCGATTTGCCTTTCTGCTAATGTACACCGCGCGTCCTCCAGCTTTATCTTCTTTTTATAGAGTCTCCCTACCTCACCTGCACCCTGTAATGGCTGTTCTCTATATGCCGTTTCTGTTCTCATTCCAAATGTACATGCCAGCCTCGGCCCGCCGCGGGCTGTTTTATTGGGAATGTGCTTTTGACCCCGAGAGCTGACCCTCAGATGGCAAGCTTAACAATGACGAATCACTTGGTGGGATCATTTACATGCCCCCTGAACCCCATATTTGGGTCCATTAGAGAGCAAATCAAATATTTATGTTGTTTATTGGAAGTGCAGGGTTTCATCTCACTCTGTGATTGTTTCATGCAAAGGCTGGGAGACCATGCTATATTAAGTATGCGCACACCCAGGAAACTAATCTTGGGTTCAGTGTCAAAATCTGTCTCAGAGCCAACAACACTTTGTATTCAAGGAAAAAAAGAAGCGAAAGAAAAGAAAGGGAAAAAGGGAGGAGGGTTTCTCTGTAATAAAGCTGTGTTAAACACTGTTGCTCTCTTTGTTCACAAGATGTGGATTTCACAAAGACACTGGGTGACTTTATAAAATAAAAACAGTGCAGCTAGACTGACCTGTGATGCCTGCGGAGATAGAACGAGTCATGTGGATATGAAAGGGTAAGTGTACTTTACCTTTTGGTCTACGTTTACAGTTGAAATTAGAGTAACATTTCATGTCTAGGTGTTGTTTCCTGTCTCCACAGGGACTGGGTCTAATTGAAACACTTCATATACTGAACCAGGGACTAGCTGTGATGTTCCATTTCTCCACATTGCCTTGGTCAAATGTCTATAGCTACCACACAGTCTGTTCTTTATTAAATTGTCCGTTGGACATTAATGATATTGCGGTGTAGCATGCTGGGATTTAATAGATAAGGTCTTTAAAGGTTTTACAGTATTATTAAAACTCTGAGGTGGCCTCCACTTTACTGCGTGCCGAGGGGTTTTGAAAGTACTAATCAGTCATATTATTACACTTGACACATCTGGAACGTCAGTCATCAAAATGGTTACTGGCAGGGTAGCAATTAGTGAAAACACACAGATAGATTTTATCAATCGGAAATGGAAAGAGCGCAAGAATCAAAGGGGAGGAAAAGAATAAAAGAATCAAAGCGGTTCTGCAGGGGAGGGTTTTTTTCTCACTGTTTGCACCCAAGTTTTCGTGCTCAGGTCTTTCAATATGCCAGCGTCTTTATGTGCCACACCGGTGTGTATAAAACTGATGTGGCTTTCAACTCCTTCACCAAGGTTCAAAAGAAAACAATAAGAAAGCCAAAGCATAATAACATGCAGTCTTTGTCTATTAGCCGCAGTAAGACTAGGGGGTTTACGGCACAGGGTTCTGTAAACAAAAGATTAAACCAAATCGAGCTGCAGAAAATGAAAGGAAAACATGAGTGGGATAATGAGGGTGCAGACGTCGTTTCTGACCAGATTACCATCTCCACAGACTACTGGAGAGGAAAACGCCTGATTGAGCTATTTTACCACACAGAGAGTTTACGCCTCTCTCCACACACAAAACCAATAGCATTACCACGCTGGTTAGTGGGTAAGCCACATATGTGAAGAAAATCTGTTAGAGTTTTGGGTCATACTGCTCTGCTTGGTTGTAATGTTGTTTTGTTTATTTGTCGAAGAATTATAACCCAGACCGCTCTGTGTCATTATGGTTCTTTTGGTTTTCAGTGCAGCAGAGACACTGTACTGACCTTTGGTAACCTCTCAGGGTCGCCGGGGTGTCTGGGGATGACTTTCTGCAGCCTCTGGAACCCATAGTCGATGGTTGGCTCATTCAGGGCTGAAAAAAAGACGAGAGAAGGTGAAAATTAGAGCGTTGTGGGGGCTAAACTAATTGAGAAATGAGTTAGAGTTTACAGTAAAATAGTCATTTCCAAATCCAAACCTCAAGGGCCAGACAGTGTTTTATACGACACAAGTTCCTCTGACACTTGTGCCACTAAGTGCTATTCCATTAAAAGCCATGATGACCTACATCAGTCTGAGGATTCTTCAGAGGGGCCCTCCCCCTTTTTATCTGCTTGAGAATATTGACTAAAGCAAACTACATAACGGCGGTCTTTTAATCTAACAGAGCCTTAATAATCTGTGAAAGGCTGTCCACACATTGATCTCTAGTGTAAGTTGCCGTCATTTCACCCTTCTGCACCAACTGTACTGCAACACTGGCCGTGTGAAATACGGCAGCAGATCCCATGGAGCCATTAATCTCTCCCACCCCTCAAATAGTAATCTGGGGCATGAAGCATATTGGGCGATGAATCAGAGGCACAAAGTAAATGAATCATAACCCAGACTTTGGTGAGAGCAGGGCGTTTTATGTCTGACAGTCCTAATGGGTAATTGAAGGTTTCCTTACAGCTCCGCCTGATTCTAAACAATCATGTGTACACTCATAGGCAGGACAAGGCGAGGGAGGCAGGGCAGAGGAGAGAAGGAGGGGAGGAGTGGAAGAAAGGAGGAGAGCAGTGTAAAGGGGGAAGGAACGACTTAATAGAGAACATCACTTCTCAATGTAGATATCATTTTCAGGAGAGTAACTCCACCGAGCAAGGCGCTTCATAAATCAATGGCTTTCTATGGAGACTAATAAGAGCTGCCTGCCTCTATTCATTGTTCAGTCTGTAATTTGGCCCATCACTCATTACTCAGCATGTAATTTCAGCATTAACACCGCACAGCTCGCTGAACCTGCTGAACACCAGAGAATGTGAAAGCAAGCAACCCCCCCCCCACACACACACAAACACACACACGCACATAGAGGCAGGCAGGGCCACTGGAGCACAAGCCAGGGAGTCAGGGCAGGAAAAGGAACATTTATGTTTCTCATTCTTTCTTTTGTACATCAGATACACATGCACAACCCCGAAACACACCCATAAGGCATACTGCACCTACTCACGCATACTTATGTTACTCACACACATACTTATAATCGAACACACCACTTGTGCTAAAACTCAAATACGGTAATTGCTAGCTCAACCGTGCTCAAGTGGAGCAGTTATGTGTTCAAGCATGGACAATGCAGGGTGATAATCGATAGCAAGGATCTGGCTTACAAATACAGTGATATTCAGCCTCATAGGCTGGACACACCTGAATAAACCCATGCCACAACAACATACACTGCTGGAAATCTGATTTGACATGTCATCATGCGTCCCGAAACGACAAAGGTCTGCCATGGAATGTGAGGGAAAGCCATCTTCTCCTTAATAAAGGATTGATCTGCCGTATTGATCGTACATGACAAGGCTATAGCAAGGAATTTGCCCCCTTTCTTTTGTTATTTCCACCCCCCTTCCCCTTCTTATCTATGCACTCTGGCAGTCCTGTACATGTGTGCATGTGTACACACACGAGTGTGTAGATGTGAGTGCATATGGCCGGCAGAGAGAGAGTGTATGTGCACGGCAGCCCTGCCAGACCCTGCTGCTCAGTGTGATGTAAATTGTGTATGTGTAAAAAGCACTCCATAATCAGGCCATCCATCATCAGAGGCTGTCAGTGGGCTCTCTCAGGGTGATACATCACGCTCTCCTGTCCTCTGCCTCAGTTGGGGCCTACACAACCCGCCAGGCATGCTGGGAACACAGCCGGAGAGACGTACAGTACAGGACAAGACCTAGGTTGGGAGAGGTGTTCTATTTGATGTGCCTCTCCAATGATAATGATGCCCTCCTGTAAATGCATGTTTTGGAGGGTAGGGTCTCCTTAATCCTTGAAATGTGGTTTATGCTGGATTTTGTCGACAGCTTTCACAGTTTATTACACTTCTAAATATGGAGGAATCGAAACGCCTCGAACTAAACCGATATTAGATGTAAAGTTTTCTCCGTCATGGTTTAACACCTGGCAGAATCGCCTGCAGTTGTCGTCCAAGCGTCAGGCATGATCTCTACATGTCGACATGTCACCATCTCATCTATCATGGAGATGATCTTTGTAACAACCCCGGCATAATGAAATTGGTGACACGGACCGCCATCTGCTATTGATTTCATGCAAATGCTTTTGACAGCTGATGGAGACTTGCATTAGCGCTAAACGGTGCTGTCAGTTGATGAGTTGACAGTTTTGTAGTCATAGCATGTACACTAGTGCAGACAGACACAGACAATGTCAATAATCCTGTAAGAGCTGCTGATGATATATACTGAGCACTTATATTCAATCTAGACAATAAATGTGTTATGAGTGCAGTCGTTGCATTGCGCCTCACATTTTTTCTTTCAGGCAAAGATTTTCTTTCATGTGCTGAGCTTTTACAAGAATCATTGGGACTACTCGCCTTACTTTTCCTCACACCACACACATTGACAGCAGCCCCACCTCTTCACCTCATGTCTTTTTTAATCCTTGACACATCATTATGTTCCAACTTCACACTCTGTCGTAAACTTTACTCTCTTCTAAAGAGCAGCTCTGTGATGCCCCGGCATGACTCGATGCATGCCAGAATTTGTTTGCTCCTTCCAGTACAATATGGAGAGAGAGGTGGGATGAGGGTGTGGACAAAGCATGCCCCCCTCCCCCTAACCTCCTCCTTACCCCTCCTTGTAAGGCTTCTCAATCGCTGCAAGGAAACATGAAACCCTCCACACACATCCCATAAATCCTGAATTGGGTGGGGAGTCTAGCCGAGGGGAGGGGGGGGGCGGCGGGGGGGGGGGGGGGGGGGAGTGGAGGAGGTATGATACGGGTGGGGGGGGGGTCGCTGGCACGTTCCAGTCACGCCCGCTTCCCGGCCCGCGGCCAATCAATACCACTTTCCTGTTTTAGAGGCGGGTAATTATGAGGTGGAGAGATTGTGTGACCTCTCACCCCTGCTGCATTACTCGCCTGATATTAAGATAAATTGCCTGATTTTGGGTAAACATATGCTGCAATTCAAACTGTCAGCACTGGTTTGCTCAGGGATAATTTGTATTGATCTCCTGGCTTCTTCCCCATTTTGCTTACTGACCTCATGGATAATTAGAGAAAAAGAGACACGGGGAGGTAAGGCAGGGCTTGCATTTGAATACTTTGCAGGAGAGATGAAGAGCACATGCGGGGGGGGATGTTGGGAGGTGGCAGAGGGAACATTAGAGACTAATAGAATTTTCATTTTCTCTCATTTTCGGCTCAGATTTAGACAGGTTACGTGTTTTGTTCAATTATATCTCTTTTTTTCCTCTTTCCCTGCCTGTCTTATATACACAGCGATGGCCCGGGGTTTAATTTCTGTCATGATACAAATTTTACAAATATAATGAGACAACAAAGCGACGGCGAATATGTTTCAAGTTAAACAGCTGATAACAAAAGGATTTATTGCCATATGTGAGCAAAATTAGCATGGTAAGTGACGAAAGAACAGACGTGATAAAGAGTGTGCTTCCCCTTCACGAAGGTTTGGAAGAACATTTTTATGAATATTTCAGTAATTTTCTCTCTCCAGAGAGTGAATGATCATGTTTCAGAATATGAAGAAATGGAATGCATGACTCGGTGTGCAGCTGTGACCATATCATTTCCAATTTTGAATATCACGCATGCGCATGGGCATGCATGGCAGGCCTTCAGTGAGATTCCTCTGCCTGGAATGTGCAATTCCCAATCTTATTTTGATCTGATGCCTTAATCTGCCACCCTTTCATGCCACTAACACATTTTCTCTGAGAGCTCCTTTAGCCGCCTCAGTCGAGCCACTTTACTTAAAATGTAGAGTGGATGGCGTGTACATGGCATCTGAGTGTGGTCCGCTGCTCCTTCTCCATGTTCTCTAGAAATAGGACATGAGTAACCGCTCTACAAGAACACTGTAACATGGCCGTCTCTGGCAGCCAGAAGTGCTTACATGGCGATACAGCACAGTGTGCCCACAGTCCATATGAAAGCGGATTGAACACTTGTATTGGCTTACAGTATCGAGGTAAAAACATAGGGAAATGTTTGAGCAAAGCAGTAAATTTAAAGGAAATTGTTCCTTGTTAAGTCTATGAGCCTGAATGGAAGCTCGCACAGTGTACTAGCATTCCTGCCAGCCATTACAGCTTATTACGATAACTCTATCTTTCCAGGAGATAAAAACCTAGCCTTGTTGCCATTTGCCAGCTATTACTTTCGCTAATTATACTTAACTGCTTCGAGCTTATCTCCACTCCTCCTACACCATTGAGCAGTTATTTTTTTCTTTCCCCTTAACACAAATTAGAGGTGGAGTGGGAGTTGGAAAGGGGGAGACAGATAAACAGCACAGGCAGAAGTTCATTCAAGTGTTATTGCATTTGTGACTTGTCAAACAGTCTAACTGAAGCCTTCTAGGCACCTGCAGTCTGTTAGATGGATGCAGTTCACAACAGCATCAACACACATAACGACCTCTTCTCGTCAATATTCAACAGCTGCGGACGTAGGACGAGCGTATATCTTCACAGCGTTGCGTTAAGGAATTAAAACGGACTCCTGTGCGTACAAGGAAGGCGTGATATTCAGAAGTCATGCTGCTGCTCCTCAGTATAAATGTGTTCCAGTGTTGAGAGCAGAAAATACGCATGCAGACCATCTTAAAAAAAAAAATCAACCAACACCAAACCAAGGCAAATTGAAATTTTCACAGCAAACCCACGCAAAGCAAACCTCATCTGTGTTAACACTGACCATATCATCTCCATCCACTGCAGCCAGTTATCACTCAGTGATTCCATCTCCAGCAGTCTCAAGATGAACAGGAAATTAAAATTTCAAAGATCTGCAGTTAAGATAAATCAATGGAGACAGATCAATGTT